GATCTAGTAGATTTACAGTAAATTGGCTGTAGTTATTCCGGCCGATCGGCGTTAATCTATACCGCCGATATCCAGGCGATAGTTAACATCATAATAATAATATTTAGGACCTATTAACTCTAAATAAGCCTAAGTTTTACGCTTTAGGTATTATAAAGGTAATTAATATAGTACTAATACTATAAGAAAAGCACCTAACTTAGTAGCCTTTACTACTTACTTTTATACTTAGAATAGCTAAACTAAGTAAAGATATATCTATAGATAATTATCTAGGCTATATCTAGTAGGGAGGGTAGCTATTAACTTCTAAACTAACACTTAAACCTAGAGACGTCTAGGAATAAGCACTAGAGGTAATGCTTATTATTATAAACTAATTAATAGTAAATAAAGGCTTACTTGAAAATAAAAAAGTTAACTACTAAGATTAGGTAGTTAAAAATAAAATTATTATTTAAATAGATATACCTTTAAATAAGGGGGGTAAGATAATATATAAGACACTATATTTAAACCTTATATCTACTAGCTATACTAATTTAAGGTAAGATTAGGTAGTATATAACTAAGATAAGCTAAACTAGACTGCCTTAACTTAATAAAGCTATTACCTATATAGCTTACTACTTAAATTATTAGTAAATAGCTAGTCTAATATAAAAAACACTAGCTTCTTAGTAGCTTTTACTTACTTTAGATAAGGCTAAAATAAATTCTTTAATACCTTTATACTAAATAAGTAGAAGGTAATTAATAAGGAGTATATAGGTTACTAGACTATATATAACTATATTTATATAATAATAATCTAGCTAAAGTATATCTAGAAAACCTAAAACTTAGCTAAAAAGGAGTATATAAGTAAGTTACTTTTACTACTAAATAATTAAAAGGAGTTTAAATTACTTCCTTTAGTAAGGTATATATTATTTATAAATATAATAGTTACTAAGATTTATAAGCTAAAAGAGATAAGAGCTTAAAAGGTAGTAAACTAAAATAAAGTTACTATAAAACTAATCCTCTTAAAGTAAGTATAAATATATAAGTTAGATTAAGAAGGCTTTCTTAATTAATATAAGGTATATATATATATAAGAGGGGATATATAAAAAAACACCCTCTTAAATAGATATATACTACTACGCTTATAGTATAAACTTTTTATATAATAATAGCTATTATAGCTAAATTTAACCTTAAAATCTATTAATTTAATACTATTAATATATTCCTTAACATAAAAAGGGGGCTAGGGAAGCTTCTAATTATATACTATCTTTTTAATAGGTTTAAGATACCTAGGAAGGTAGTTTAGCTAAAGTGTGCTCTTTATAGCTTATAAGATATACCCCTCTTTTAGTATAAAGAGTTCTTAAATACCTTATGTTATCTTAAAATAGCTCTAGTAGCTAAAGACCTCTACCTATTCTAGACGCTAGATAAAAAGGTCCTAGTTATTTTCTATATAGATAATATACTTATATTATTTTATAAATTAAATAAGGCTAAGGCCTAGGTAATTATTAATAGTATTAAAGTAACTTATAAGGTAAAAGACTAAGGCCTAGCTAAGTAGTATTTAGAAATATAAATCTTATATAACTACCTAAAGTAAAAGATCTATTTAGCTTATAATTAATATATTAAGTAAGTAGCTAGGAAATTTAACCTAGTTAATATAATAGTACTACTAATTTTACTCCTAACTATAACGTTTAAAAAGAATAAATCTTAAGTAATACTAAGTAAGGTAAGGTGTTTCTAAGAGAAGATTAGCTTAATCCTTTATATAGCTATTATAATATAACCTAACGTTATATACACTTATACCTTACTATTATACTTCCTTATAAATCTAGTGTAATAGTATAATTAGGCTACTAACTAAGTTATTTAATACCTCTACTACACTATATATCTCTTAATTTATTATAGCACCTTAGGGGGTGCCTAGGCCTTAGTAATTATAAGTAACGCCTTATTTATAAATAATAAAGAGACGTAAAGATTATCTTAAAGATATATTATCTTGCTCTTTAAGGGGCTAGTTTAGTAGAAGGCTGCTTAGTAAAGTATAGTTATAATATTAACTATAGAGGTAGAGCTTCTTAGCCTTAAGCTTATAGTAAAAAAGGTAATAGTAATAAAGTAACTGTTTTATAATATATAGTTAGAGCTTAGTAATATATAAAAGATTAATTATAATAATAGTTAAATAATTTACTTAGTAATTAGTAAAAAAAAGTGTATTTTAACTTACTTATAGTATATTAATATCTAAAATATATAGCTTTAATAAGAATATATAAAAAGGTTATTTAATATTATATATATACTTATAAATAATATACTAGTAAATAGGCTTATAAAAAGTCTTATATATAGTAAGTTTAAATAGTTTAGATTACTACTTAATCTCTAAGATATATAAATAATACTTATATACGCTTAGGAAAAAAGGTTAGTAAAAAATAAATACCTAAAGGCTATTTAAATTCCTATTTATTACCTATAGGCTGTTCTAAAACCTTTTTCTAGCCTATAGGCCTATTACTTCTAACTAGAAGCCTTAAAATAAAGTTATTTTTTTACTATTATTACCTCCTAAAAGATTTTATATACTAGTCTATAAAGATATAGTATATAAGTATCTACTTTATAAGGAGAATAGCACTAATAAGGGTATTAATTATAAAGTAAATAGTAGCTTATTAACCTTTATTTATAGTAATAATAGCTATACTAGAGGGGGTATTACTAAACGTACTTATAATAACTAATATATTTTTACTAGATTTACTATTAAAGGGTCTAAGGACTCTCTAAGGGGTAAGTAGTACTAACACTACCTTATTAATTTTTTATATACTAATATAAAGGTCCCCCTAGAGAAAGGTTCTTTTAAATATAATATAGCTATATAACCTAGTAGTTATATAACTAAGGACCTAAGTATAAGTTAGTAGCTAGCTATAATAAGTTAGTATATAAAAATATATATTAGGAGTAACGTTACTACGCTTTATAGCTAAGAACTCCCCTACTAGGTAATAAAGCTTTAATCCCTTATATATAATAATATTTAGCACCTTACTTAAGGCGTAACGTTAATATTTATAAGATTAGCTCCTAGCTACTAGCTTATACTACCTTAAGGAGTTACTATAAAGTGTACTTATAACACACCTTATACACTTAACCCTCCTTAGGGTAGGCTTAGGGGTCCTAGCCTAACTACCTCTTTTAGCTTTTTCCTCTTCTTCTACCTTAAAGGCAGCTTACGCTATATAAATAAGTTAGTAATAGGTTACTTAGTAAATAGTAGGTAGTAACGTACCTTTAGCGTTACGCTAGAGGAACTCTTATAGTATAGCCTAGCCCCTAGCTATAGCTATAGCTAGGGCATAAGGGGAGAGGGGGGTGTTAGTATTAGAGGCTTATAAGCTATCCCCTTTTTTATTCTTCCTATTTATACTTATAATAAGGTTATTAAAGACCTTATTACCTTTATAGACTTTATCTTAGTTATACTAGTATTAGATATTAGTATTACTTAGTAATATAGAGGTAAGATAATAGTAGACTACCTATATTAAGGGGGGGGACTATAGGCTAGTGATCTAGAGTATTAAAAGGGCTATTACTCTTCTTTACTACCTTATATTACTTAGTGTAATATTTAAGCGCTACTATATATACTATAGTAGTATAAATATATATAGCCTTTTTATTTTTTTTAGTAAGTATTTATTTAAAATAATTAGTATTATAAATTACTTAGCTTATAATAAGTAATTATAGTAAGTTATAACTATAAAATAAAATAAAAAAGATATAGTAATATATATAGTTATTATTATTAATAATAATAAAAAAAAAGCCTAACCTTTACTTAGTAAAAAGTTAGATAATAATAAGGCAGGAGGGTAGTTAAATAGTTATTTCTTAGCTAATTAGGGGCTACTATTTTACTTAATAATTTATATAGCTAGGGGTATAAAAATAGGGATAAATATAGTAATTTATCCCCCTTAATAAAGGCTTATATAGTATTTCCTTTATATAATAGTTATATTTTATAACTAGGCTTTATAAAGCGTTATATACACTTTACTTTATTTACTTAGTAGTAATCTTTTTTATATCTAGTAGTTTTTAGGCATATAATAATCTATAGATAGTTAATTATGCCTAGGGGGGTGTGTTATAATACCCTTATATATATTACGCGTATCTAGCTCTAGTTAGCTGATTTCTCTAGACTAGAGAAATAGTTATTCTAAACTAAGCCTTGTCTTTACGTAGCTGACCTACTTAAAGAATACGTATTTCTTTAGGCTAGATCACCTATCTCTACACTGTAGATAGTTAAGCCGTTTTCCCTATGATCTTTCCTACCTAAACAGTGCCTCTACAACAAGTAAATAATGGCTTAACATCCGTACTAAACAGGGACGTTTACGCCTTTATATTATATCATTAGTACGTCGGTCTTTGTGCGGGTGCGCACTGCGATCCTTGTCCCAACTGCCAGGCTGGGGATGTCTCCTTTGTACGAGGTAGATACTTTATAAGACTAGTTTGTTCGCCGTCCTGGGTATTTTCCAAGTCCTGTGGCCATCATCGAGACAATTAATAGATATCAAAATTTCACTTTCCACCATCCACTTGCACTTTCAAAACTACTATTGCCATAGCTCAACGTGCTTCCGATGTTGGCCTTCGACCGTGCCAGCTATGGGCCAGCCAGCTGCGACAGGAGTTCTCCATACGAGGGATAAAATGCAGGCTTCACAGTAAGCCACTTATACGCAAAATACTCCTCGTACCAGCCTGCCTTGGCGGACCAATCTGCCTAGTGTTCCCCATCTCCGTCGCGCCTGATGAGGCTCTCCGCCGGGCACACATCAGTTGTCGTGTTGGCCGAAGATTGGGCGCCTGTCAGCTATAGCCACAACCATATTGTGGCGATGCAGACGGACAGACGAATCAAAATGGCGGAAGCACTCGGCTTGGCGACAAGCATCATCGTCGTCGTCGATATGACAACCAAGGTCGGCAGTGCCTCGTTCAAGCTCATGCGACTCTGGAAGGAAGTCAAGGAAGTCCCGGTCATGCTTCTGGAGAAAACTGAATGGATCAAAGACCTCGAAGAGTTTCTCGACGATACCGAAAGTCAAATAGCCCAAAATCAGCTCCCCAAAGCAGTTTACGATATGGCTCGCTTGCAGAAGCACATCGCCAAAGCCCAATGTGCGCTGAACGACGTCCAAGAGATGGTCGACCACTTGCAGGCCAAAGTCAATGCTGACCAACAGGGCTTCAAGCGGAAGTTTGCATCGACCAAAGTGCTCCTTCGAAAGGACGAATGGAATACTCTGGAAAAAAGCCTCGACTCGGCACTGTATCTTTTTTCGATAACACAGACACAGTACTTGGTGTAAGTGCAATTTAGAGTGCTCATCACATACGTTTCTAACAGTAGTTGCAGAGCAATGTCAACCTTTTGCACAACCTTCCTACAAGAGCAGCCAAGATCAACCAAAATCCCAGGTCAATCACTGATCGGGAATAGCGATTCATTCGGGGTGGACGAAGAAAAGCAAAACAGCATCAAAAGGAGAAAGCCCAGTTATGCTCACTCTACTGTAGCAAACGTCGTTGCCATGCCATACTCAAACTCTTTTTTTACCCGCCTTCCGCTTTGGTTTTGGTGCCAACTCCAGTTTCCAGTTCTCCGTTCTCACTCCAACTTGGCTCAGTGGATCTTTGTACTCAATAATAGCACAAAGGAGCTTTCAAGGGTGGCAGTTGAATCTGAGCACATACGAAGTGATTGAAGATTTTCCCAGAGAGTTGTATAAGAGTGCTCAAAGGGACGATTATCTTGGCTTCTTTAGATGCTTGGATGCGCATAAGATCTTCATACACGCAATCAGTTTGGTTTTAGTTTGCTTAAGGTGAGTATACCGAACTGAAAAAGAACCTTTAACTCAGGTTGGCTAATTTATGATCCCATCATCAAGCTTGGTGTGATGTATTACAGTTTCACAACGACAAAACTGCTTCTAGAACGAGGTCTTGGTGGGTACGTGAGCGAGCCACCAAGCACAAGGACCAGGTTAGTTTGTACGAGTGAAACATAAAGAACAAGATCTAATATATACTCTACATTAGTGTGCCTATCTTATTTCTTCATCTAGATATGTTGAACGCTCCCGGTTCTGGACCTCGAGACCTTCAGTTCCTCGAGCTTTTCGCAGATTACGGTCTAGACGATGTTCTCTAACATGAGGATACAAGCCAGATACTACTCAGCAGCGGTGCCAGTTACCCTGCTTTTCGGGCTTTTCTCAACCGTAATGATTTAAGTTACACTTCATTGTCGATTGAGAAAAGACTTCGACACCTGAGGTATTTGGCAGAGAGTAGTAGGTGCTGGAGCCTAGATGATATCAAACAGATCATTCCCGAGATTGGAGAGCTTACTGCTGAAATCATCGATCTTTCTGTGAAGGAAGGTTGTTCACTTCTTCATTCATTTACCTTATTTTTCTCATCAAGATTGAAGAGGTGGGAGAAACGCCCGGATGGTGAACAAAGGCTTGAGCAGGAGAAGGAGTGGAACAAACTCATTGAGACCTCTATTCGCCAAGATCCTACAAGCTTGCATCGCCTCCAGAATGTTTGGCTCTATGGTTATGGATGGGTTGAAACCTCTCCATTATCTTGTTTTATGTGGTCTTTGCTCCTTTCAATATTTCGATTAGGTTCGAGTTCCTTGATTTGGGGGGACACGTCGCGACGTGGGAGGCAACTTGTGATGAAAGGGTTGGAGTCGGTATTCGCCGCTTGGATCGCGATGTTGTCCGATTGCGGTGTTGACCTTTTGAGTTATGGACTCAAGGAGAGACAACTATACGATGAGGGTTCCATGCACTATAGACGGCGATTCTTTCTGCGGTTCAGTTCTCCAACAGCAGCTCGGCTCTTCTTCGTTGGTTTCACCTATTATGGCGCTCGGCCGGAACAGTGGAGACTCTGGTGGACTTTTGAGTACGAAGAGTATGTAGAGGAGTTCTGGAATCTAGTCGAAAGTCGGGAATTCAAAATGCCGGGGAGCTGGGTGGACGAACCTTGGGATTTGGATGATTTGGAAGAGGAAGAAGATCGCAGGCTCGAGATGTGGGAGAGGGAGGAAACCACGCCATTGATTTGGTCCGAGTATCGCAAAATTCGGCCCCCGGTCTAGCCACTATATTTAGTTTGGGTCACTCCAATCAACAGTGATAGACAGCTATGATCACGATAAATTCTACCCCGTCACCCAGTTTTCGTCGCACCGTATCGTTATCTACAGACTCAACTCTAGACCCAATTAAGTGGTCATTTCAAGAGCTTTTCGCTTATGGCACAGTCGATTGCGGTGACGCAAGCTGCATCTCTCCCGAGCGGCACATCAGGATCCTGTTGGTTGGATTGCCAGTCCGGCTGCTCCTGGAGCCCCGGCCCTGAGTGGCCACAACCCATGCAACAACATGCAGTTTGCCGCCGAGACTCCAGGCCTGTTCCGTCCGCGATGCTGTGCCGCGGGGCTGTGTGACAGGGGTCGATGGGCCGATTCTTCAGGTATTCTTAATCGCTCTTGAACATTCGGGGCTTGCTGGCTGTCTGCTGGCAGTCCCACGAGGTTACGGGAAAATATTCCCTTGCTTGCCTCTTCCATCTCCATTGTTTTCCTCATCCAGACAGCTTCGACAAGTCACCCCATCCATGACTCCCTGCGGGTTTGCCGGCTCTCTAGACTTTCTCATGTTGAAGCGTTTCCCCTCATGGAAGTCATCGGCGCCGTTGCGAGCGGCATAGTCCTTGACCAACTGAGCACGTGAGGACGTGCGTCGTCTACGCTGACAAGGCGCGCAGAGTCGTGGACGAGATGGTGAGGGATTTACAGTCCAGCCTCCAGAGGACGCCGCAGCAAAACTTACAGAGTCGGACGAGGAGGAAGGTGAGACTTGCGTGGGAGGAGTTGAGGAAGGGCGATTTGGAAAAGCTCGAGATGAGTTTGGATGTGGCGTTGGGTATGGTGCTAATGTGTATTGGAGCTTACGGCAGGTTTTCCGAGGCGTGCTAAACCATGGCTGCAAGACCTCAGAGACTCCGACATCGACCTCCTGCAGTATGGCAGGGCCGAGGCGCTCAAGATCAAGTTTACGGCGCTCGATGTCAAGGGCGTTTTCGACGCCGATGCCCTAGCCACCTCGCGCAGGCATGTCCGGAGCTTACTGCGGATGCGGAAGTCGAGGATGCAGATGGTGGACAACGAGCATCCGGGAAGCGACCCCTATTGGCTGCCAGCCAACTGATGCTGCCAAGCTGTGTTGGTTGGGTCACAAGTTTGCCCTGCTCGTATGTATACCCTGGCATGGAGTGGCTACAACCCATGCACGATATGCAGCTTGCCGCCGAGGCAGCAGGCCCGGTCCGTTACAACTCCAACGACTGCGCCGCTGGAGAATGGCAGGGCAGAATGGAATGCTTACCCCTCTGAGATGAGCGATTGTGTCTTTTGGAAAGACTGGAGTTCTGTTGATTGTCTCCTGCTGTTGCGAACCTTGTCTTTCCCTCGGGTCGACTCTTCCTTGGCGTCAGACGATTAGACTCGTCCTCGCCGGTTTACTTTGGCAACAAGTGAAACATTGTAGACTTTTGCATGCAGATATTCGCTCGATATGGAAATTGCGGCAAGCGGTATCGCCTTCATCCAAGCCGGCGTTGGCACCGGCAAAGCAATCCTCAAAGCCATTCAACTATGGGAACAAGTAAAGCAGCTCCCCGACGACCTCAAGGCCCGGATCAAGAGGCTCAGGTCCCTCGAGCCGATCCTGCGCCAGATCGAGACCGAATTCACGAAGCACCCAGACATGTGCGTCCATCCGACTGCCCGGCAATCCATCGCCTACGCGAGGGAGGCTGAGGCGACGTTGAGATCGCACATTGAGAAGCTTGAGGGCAAGATCCAAGCTCCCAAGGGCAACTTCAGGCGACGTGTAAACTCATTCAAGATCATCACTCTGAAGAAGGAGGAGATGTCGATGTTGGAGAGTGAGCTTGCGTGGGCGATGGAGTCGGTGCAGTTGGCCATTACGTGCTTCCATATGTGAGTTGGCCTTCTTGCCTTGCGAGGTTTGCCGCCGTTTGCTAACCTTTATGATGCAAAGGGCTAAGAGCGACTTGTCGGAACGCTCTATAATTAACGAAACCTCTGCGCGTGTTAGAGAATACAGTATGGCATGCCAGGATGACATGGTGAAGAAAACGGCTCAAGCGGTTGTCAGCATGATAAAGGTCGAGGAGTTATCCGCCATTGATTTGAAGCCCGTCGACTTCGATACAAGTAAACAAACAAAAGAAAGTAAACCAATACGACAGCCGAATGGACTTATCGCCTGGCCTTCAAGCTTCGAAGCTTCTGTCTTTGGGCGCTACTCCTTCCGTCGCTCCAAGGCAGACAACGGATGGACTGCCTCGGTGCAAATGCCTTGGTCTCAACGTGTGAGGGAGCTTCGATGGACCGGGTGGCAGTACTGTTTCCACACTTATAACATCAGGCCGAGGTCGTCTCCTGCCTTCAAAGCTGCTGAGAAGGGAGACTTGGCGGAATTGATGAAGCTCTTTAAGACGGGACAGGCGACGCCCTTTGATAGAAACGAACTTGGCCGTTCGCTCTTATACGTGAGCTCTGATTTACCTGTCCACGACTGCAAATGACTAAACCGTCTCTAGTTGGCTGCGAAAGAGGACAGGTTGGAAGTCTGCCAAGCCCTCATCCAGCAAGGCGTTCCCGCTGACGACGAACGAGAACTCCATGGCCGGTAAGTCACCTCACCGAACCCACTTTGAGGCACAACACCACATATACACACGCTCTTCCCTTGACCCTGGATATTTGACATGCCTAATGTCATTCGATTTCAGCAACCCTATCGACGCCATAGTAACTTCCCGCAACAACTTCACCTCTCCCACCGCCGCAGACGCAACCCACCAAGCCCTCATCACCCTCTTCCGCACCGCCGCCTACGGCGCCTCGACCCTGACCGTTGAGCGCCTCTTTGCCTACGTCGCAGAGTATTCCGCCGGCGACGACTTCATCCGCGTGTATCAGACCCAATTCCTGCGTGACTACCACGGCCTGCCCCTCCGAGACCGCGCCGAGGCGGTGCGGCTCGCCTCCTTCGTCGCGCACGACCCCCGGACCTACCGGTCTCTCTTGTCTATAGACATGGAGATTACCAGAGGCGACGTAGAGGAGTCTGAGAGGCAAGGGTTCTCGCTGCTGCACTCAGCCGCGATCGCCGTGGGGAAGAGGATGGCGGATGAGTTACAGTATGACCCACGCGCGTTTAGGGCGCGTTCGTATACCGAGTATTGGAGCGACCTCATCGTCGACACGGTCCGGGCGGCCCCCGAAGTCAACAGCTTGTGTCACGTCGAGACGGTGGTCCCGTGGGGCTGGTTTTTCGTTCCAGTCTGGAGGTCCACGCCCCTTGTCTCCCTCCTCGGCGGCGCCCTATGTCGCTTGAGCCCAGAGGTCCGCTTGTCGGAATGGGAATCCATCTTCCAAGCCGTACTCAAGCAGTGGCTGGGAGACTTGCAGTCTGCCGGGGTCGACTTGCTCCAGTACGGCAGACAAGAGGCACTCGTACAGAAATTCACGTGTCCCGAAGTAAAAGGCGCATTCGATAGCGACGCCATCAACGCTTCCCGCAGGGTGGTGCGGAACGAGCTGCAGGAGGCGAGCAAAGATTCATGGATGATGAACGTGGATAGGACCTTCGACAAGAGTGACCGCTACTGGAATCCCATACGCATAATCGCGCTCGATTATGGCCCGGAGGTGGACGATTGGCGAGTGCGGTGGCTCGTCGAATCCGAGGCGTTTGCCGGCGAGTTCTGGAGGGTTGTAGAGGCGCCGCGGGTCGCCATGCCTGGTAGCTGGGTCGATTAGGGAACGGCCTAACCAACCACTGAAGCCATTTCCTTTCCCATAAAATGAATGTCTTTCATAGGTGCTCGTAAGCCCGTTGAAAAAACAAGGGAAACATTGACTTAGCCGCCGGTACGACACGGCGCTAAAGCCGGGCGATCACGGGGCAGGCCGGGCGACTAAGCCGGCCCCACCATATGCAACCCCACCCCACAGCAACGTCCAGGAGCTTCCTCCCCGCGCTTCGTCATCGCTCTCACCGCGCCTGGTGCGGGGCACTCTCAACCAGCTCAAGCTCGAACCATATTGGAAAGAATCAAAAACAAAAAGAAGAACCTTCCCTCTCCCAGCCCTCTCCTGCTCTTAATCTCCGTGTGCTCGAACTGTGTCGCTTTGTAACAGCTTCTTACCTCGTTCTACGAACCCCCCTCCCCCCGAAAGAATGGCGCCCAGAGACACCCGCCCACCCGGCAAGCAGGGCGAGTGGTACCTAGGCGACGCGGACAGACTCGCCAAGCAGCTTGATGAGTTCCTCGCCGACGTCCCGGACCAGATCGACGGCCAAGGGCTTCCCATCCCTGGCGCCCGCGTCATCATCGCCCCGTCAGTCTTCCCAGTCTTCTTCTCTCTCCAGCTCGCCTCCGTAGCGGAATTGTGACATGACAAGAAAGCAAGCCTTCCCATGCTGACATTGGCGACGTGAACAGCCACGCAGGCTACTCCTACTCGGGCGCGACCGCCGCCTGGGCCTACAAGGCCCTCGACCTCAGCAAGGCCAAGCGCGTCTTCCTCCTCGGCCCGTCGCACACGTACTATCTGCGAGGCTGTGCCGTCACCACTTACAAGAAATACGGTACACCTTGGGGCGAGCTGCGAATCGACGAGGAGACCACGGACGCGATCCGCCGGCGGGACGGCGTCGAGGACATGCCGGTCCGCAACGAGGACCGGGAGCACTCCCTGGAGATGCACCTGCCGTACCTGTTCAAGCGGTTGCAGCAGACGTTCGGCTCCCCCGACAACTTCCCCACACTCGTCCCGATCCTCGTCGGCGACAACAACAAGGCGGAGGAGAAGGAGGTGGGCAAGTGGCTGGCCGAGTACCTCCGGGACCCGGACAACGCCTTCATCGTGAGCTCCGACTTCTGCCACTGGGGCAGCCACTTCGACTACACGGTGTACTGCCCCGACGGCGACGTGACCAAGATGCAGAAGCTTCGCCCTCACGGGTCCGCACCGGACGGCCCGCCGATCCACGAGACGGTCAAGCTGGTGGACGACCTGGCCATCGAGGCCATCAAGACGGGCCGGCACAGCGCCTTCTACGACAACCTCAAGCAGACCAAGAACACGGTGTGCGGGCGGCACCCGATCGGGGTCACGATGGCGGCGCTCGAGGAGCTGGGCGGCGAGGGGCAGGAGCAGCAGCACCGCTTCCGGTTCATCCAGTACCAGCGCAGCAGCCTGGTCACGGGCCCGGGCGACTCGAGCGTGAGCTACGTCTCGGCGTACGCCGTGGTATAAAGTGTTTACGGTGTCTTTTCTACCATTATCATTCGTGACGTCGTTGTCACAGCCATGAAGGGGAGGGGAAGGCGCGTGTGTCTGTGTCTGTGTGTGGAAGATTTTCCGGATGTATGTATCAAATTTACCATGCGGTGCGTGTGTTGCTGTGCGAATATTCGGGCTGCGATTGGAACGGGGGAGGGGGGGCGACGACGTGAACGGGAGGAGTATGTTTTCTTTTCCCCCGAGATGCTTAGACGCGGAGGGAGGGTTCACCTTGACTTGCCATGACAGGGTGATGGTTTGTGGATAGAGAAAGCTTCCTTGAGAGCTTCTGGCGCTTTGGAATTGAGAATTATTGACATCATCCCCGTCTGGTGTGTGCTGGCGGTCAAAGACACGTACACACACACACACACTTCTTTCTCTAACACACATACGCATCCCGGTAACAGTCACCGGACGGAAAAAAGTAAAAAAAAACAAAAAAAACAAATACTGGCTTAATAATGTCCATCGGCGTACGCATGATTCCTCGCGTCTGATGTTGACGTCTCGGCCGTCTCTCGGCAAAAGAGGACCTGTTTCTCGACAGCTAGGGTGGAAGGGGGAGGGGGCATTGAAGCGGCGGCAAACAGCGCGGCCGGAGGCAAAGAAGGGCCCCTTCCCCTCTCCCCTCTCCCCTCTCCCCTCTCCCGCGTTGTGCCTGGTCCCCGGGCCCGGAACGGCGTCGATGCGGGTTTGGTATCTAGGGTAAGGAGGATCCTGGGCGTGCTCGGCAGCACAGCCCCTACCGGCTTTTTTATCGCCCTCCATGGGGCCGGCTGTGCGGTGCGGCGCCGTGGACGTCAAGGCTGAGGAGGGGATGGAATGAAATGAGGGGAGGGGAGGGGAGGGGGGTGGGATGCGGCGGTGATGCGTGTACGCAATATTGGTATGTGGCTGCATGTCAGCTTTCGCCCAAAACGGCCATGCGAAGAAAGTCTTGACGGCAGCAGGTGCAGTTTGTTTCTCGCCCACTCGCCTACACCTCCTCGGAATGTAAGGGGCGAAAAGCTTTTCACCATGAAGCCATTCCGGTGCCGTTCTTCAGGACGGGGTCACCCCGCCGCCCCGCGCAGCATGGCATGTCATGGCATGGCATGTGGGTGAGGAACGCAGAGAGAGATACCTAGAGAGAGAGGGAGAGGGAGAGGGAGAGCACAGGCTTGGGTGTTGCGCCAACGAGCGAGGGAGGGGTAGGAAGGGGGGATATTCCTCGTTGGAGGATGACGAAAGATGGAATCCACGGGCCTGGTCCCTCCCCGGCTACGTGTTCGGGCATCGAATTGCGCAGGGGGAAAATGTTGGCTCCGTCTAGTAGGTATTACCTAGTGCGATCCCTCAAGGGAGGACGGAAGACATCCCATCCTGGAGCTGAAGGGGGGAGCGGGGATTTGGCTCCAAAGGACGGGACGAGGTGGCGCATGGCGATGGAAGATGGGCGAGGGGCTGTGTATTGGGTTTGTAAAACTAGGTAGTCGGCGGAGCGAGGAAAAGACTTTCTGAAGCTTTTTTTTTTTTTTTTTTTTTTTGAGTTGGATACGCTTGGCAAAACAGAATTCGAGCTCGTCGTTGTCCCTTCTCTCCTCCTCCTCCCTTCTCCCCGGTGGGTGGTCTGCTCCTTTTCGCAGGAGACGGGTAGCTGGGGCATCTGATTTATGATGGGACACATAGTAAGCTGCTAGGCAGCCGGGTTTCCGAATGCCCCGAACATCCTTTGGGATCGGGAATGACGGCATGGCCGGGTTGTCTCTTGGCTGTTGTTCAGTTCTTACTTTGTGGGGGTCCCTCGGCTGGCAGAGAGAGCAGACGACGGACAGCCAGACGGACTTGCCAGCCTGCTGACGATGGCTTACGGCTTGCAGGGGCTTAGTCTATTTAAGGTATCTTGGCTCGGCCGGGCTGGGCTTTGGAGCTGGGGAGCTGGGAGCTGCAGCTAAGCTTGGGGCGTGAAGCCACGAGATACTGGACACGGAGTACGAGGAGGAGAGGAGGAAGAGGCTTGCAGCCGCATGTGTATCGGGGTTAGCTAGCCTTTCTTCGCTTCCGAGACATGGAAGCTGACGAGCGAGGGGGTGGGCGAGTGAGATGAGCGATGCCAATCCGATTCACTGTGATTTTGGTTTAAGAGGCACGGGTTCCCGTTTCCCCGGTCGCGCGATCGAGAACTCTGCAATCTTTGCCCAATTCTTGTCCGAGAGGCTCCCCTCCTCTTCCTCCCCTCCTTCAAACGTTCCAAATCTATATAATAGACTCTAAACGCTGCTCAAGCGCCGTCTTCGCTCAGACTTGCTGCCGCGAGCGTCGTTCCTCGCAAGAGCGTCACCGACAGAAACTCGCATCCAAGACCGAGTCGTCGTCGTCGTCGTCGTCGTCGCCGGTTCCTCCTCCAACTCCTCCTCTGTGTCTGACCCGAGGGACCAATCCGAGAGGTTCACGACAGGTCCACGTGGAATTTGATCGACGTCGTTTCTCCAACAGGAGGATCGATCGGGTGCAATCCATAAAAAACAGCGCAAAGACGAGCATCCCCAAAATACACCCACGTATAGTGAGTGTGGTGTAGGTAGCAGCAGAGAGAAACACGAAACGCCCCCGTCCCAAAGCGAAAGGGAAAAGGGGTGGAGAGCGAATCTGCTGTATCATCAAGCGGCGGGTTGATTGGCCGTATCAGGTATTCGCAAGCTTGTGGAACACGCACACACACGCCCACACACCCACACACCCGCACACCCACACGTACGCCGCGAACGATACGCTCTCTTCCGCTTTCGGTGCAGAAAGGGGAAAAAGCCGAAGATCCAGACTCGATTGGCCCACGACTGCCGCCGTCAGCATCCCTGTCGACCCTCGCCATTGTGGTTGTCGTCGTCGTCGTCGTCGTCTTCGTCGCCTGCGTCGTCTTGAGGCGTCAACCAGCCACGAAGGGCTGCAGGTGTATCATTCAGCATCCCAAGGTTTAGCCTTTTGAGTCAACTCTGTCTTGCATTGCCTTGCCTTACCTTGCCTTACCTTGCATTGGCAGCGAACAGTGCCCCCCCTCGTCAGGTCATCGACTGAACGGCGCATCAAGAGTGCAAAGACGATTTAGCCCGAGCGAGCTTCATAAAAAAAGAAATAATAATAACAAACGTGACGGAATAACGACGGGAAGTGAGGAGAAGAATAGCCTGCACAGCACAGCACAGACTGCACAGCACAGACTGCACAGCACAGTCTCTGCATAGTGTGAGGTCATCTCCGGCGAGTTTATTCGAATCCGTTCGACGTCAACTTCATTTGCCTTCACCGGCCGCCGCCTGTTACAGACGCAGGCAAGTTCCCAAGCTTCGGGGTCCCTTCGTCGGCGATCCTCATCCAATCAGCCGCCAACCGCGCGCGCATCCGAGTCGAGATTTCAAGCGGTGAGAGACGAAGGATATACACCACAGGTGTAGAGAGGAAGAAGGAGAGAAAGAAAGAGAGGGAGAGAGAGAAGGAAAGAGCTTCTTCCCCTTTCCTCTTGGTTACATCGGTGGCCCCTGCCTGCTGTCACCGTCGTCTCTTGCCTTTTGGTACATTGCTAAGCCGCCACACCTCGGACACTCACTCACCCACTCACTGGCTCACACTCAATCTCATCACAGACCTTGGATCTCACTCTGAATCTCATCTCACCTCTACACTCATCATCATCATCATCATCATCATCATCACCATCATCACCATCATCGTAGTCGTCGTCTTCATCGTCGCCTTACTCAGCAAACCTCCCATCGATCGCACTTACAACCAACCACTTCCTACATACAAACCATTAATCTCCCAGACTCGTCCGTCCCACGGAAGAGAAGAAGAAAAAAAGAAAAAAAAAGGCAAGATACAACTTCATTCGGTGTTGCTATTACCAGCACAAGGGACGCTACGCTACACCACGCTACGCCCTCTCCAATCATCTCTCTTACTGGAGCCCTCGAAAGCCACTTAAACGGCGATCATTCTGCACGCCAGGGGCACCCCGAGCACCGCGCCCCCGTCCCCAGCAGACAATTCGAATTTCTGCTACAAAGAAGCGCTTCAAGCCATAGACACGCCCTGCGTCTTGTGGATTCCGTGGCCCAGTTGCCTCGTCTCGCTTCTCTCCCCATCATCCACACCGTCATCCACAGACTAGGAGGGTTCCCTTGTTCCTCCCCCACCCCCCCTGCTCTGCCCCCGTTACCATCGACATACGGATACGTAGTATTATACGGAGTAGTACGTATCCGTACCTACGGTAGGAGACAAGAGAGGCCCGAGACTTCTGTCGTCCAAGCCTGGCCTGTTCTGTGTCCGTGACCGTCACTTTCGCCATTACAACATTACCGATTTCGTCTCATCCGCCAAACCGCCCCCCCTCCCTACTCCGTCTTCGCCCTTTTTGATCATTTACCCACCTCTTCCTTCGCCCGTACTCAGCTTGCTTCTTTTTCTGCCAAAAACAACAAATCAACCAAAGGCTTCAATTCCCTTCCTTCCTACCTGCCTGCCTGTCGACTGTGCGACGCTCACAAACCTTGGGACGATTCATCAATCCGTTACCCACACCCACATATACATACAAAAGTCGTTTCGCCCGTGAGCGCCCACCAGTACCCAAGGCCCGCATCACCGTCGCGCAAGGAAGAAGCCTACGCGCTTCGCAGAAGCAACATGAGTGTCAGTGTTTCATCCCAACCCTCGCAACCCCTAGTGTTTCGTCCCTCTCTCTCCATCTCCTCCCTCTCTCTCTCTCTCTCGCCCTGCACGCTGCACGTTGCGCTGCCCTACCCTACCGACCTTGCATTCTGACCCTGTCATCGTCGTCCTCCTGTCTCTTGTCAATTACACCTTGCTGTTACTCGTTGTTATCCTATCCCCCCCTCTCCACTCCTTCTTCTCCAAGTTTCAAAACGTCTCGAAGTCGAGTGACAGCAACAAAAGTCCAATCCGCTACATCCTTCCCGATACCCCAACCCGCAACCTTTTTTCTATTTTGTACTTGAATTTTATTTTTTGTACCTGCAGCGGTTCACCCACCTTCTTCGCACAAACATCATACTTGCTTCAGCCTGGTTGCGTTGCATGATAGATTGTTGTGCCTTTTAGTTCTTTTCCCCCTTTTATCACGATTTTTTTTTTTTTTTTGCGGCATCCCTTCCTACCCGTCTAACCTAAACACCAATCGAACCACCGCTATCCGTTGAAACTAACATCATGGCGCAGTACGGGTATGTTTCCCTCTCCCGCGGAGCCGACGGGACACACGACGACGACGAGTACGACCTCTCGGAACGCGGATTACTGACAGACTCGGGTAGATACGGTGATCGCCAGAACCCCTTTGACCAGAGGGATGGAGGCTCGGGAGGCTACGGTGGCCCTCCTCAGCAAGCCCCCTACGGCGGCGGGAACAGATACAACAATCAGGGACCAACTATGGGTAGGGACCAATACGGTACGGCTTGACCGCGACGGTCGTTTGCGCTCCGAGTGCTGACAGGTGTGCTTCTTCTTTTCCCGCGAAACAGGCGCCAACGTCGAGATGGAATCCCTCGCCCAGAACGCAAGCGGCTTCGGCCAATCCGACCCCAACGCCATCCTCAACGAGTGCCGCTCCATCGACCAGGGCATCGACCAGATCGAGTCCAACCTGAACCAGCTGCGCATGCTGCAGGAGCGCTCCCTCACTGACGCCGATACCTCGGCCAACTCCTCCACCGCCCGCCAGCTCGACGCCCTCTCCTCCGAGACCATGGCCATGTACCGCTCCCTCACCGACCGCGTCCGCACAGTCAAGTCCAGCCCCGACGGCCAGTCGGCCCGGAACTCGCCCCAAGTCGGCCGCGTCGACCGCCGCCTCAAGGGAGCCATCCAGCAGTACCAGCAGGTCGAGTCTGCTTTCCGCAAGCGCACCCAGGACCAGATGGCCCGCCAGTACCGCATCGTCCGTCCCGACGCCGACGAGCGCGAGGTCCGCGAGGCCGTTGAGGATGCCGGCGCCGGCGCCCAGATCTTCCAACAGGCCGTCATGCAGAGCGGTCGCCAGGCCCAGGCCAACGCCGTCCTCAACGCCGTCCAGGACCGCCAGGCCGCCCTCCAGAAGATTGAGCAGCAGATGGTCGAGCTCGCCCAGCTCTTCCAGGACATGGACGTCCTCGTCGTCCAGCAGGAGGCCGCCGTCACCCAGATCGAGCAGAAGGGCGAGGAGGTCGTCGAGAACCTCGACAAGGGCAACCAGGAGATTGGCGTCGCCGTCGAGACCGCCCGCAAGACCCGCAAGAAGAAGTGGTGGTGCCTGGGAATCTGCAGTAAGTCCACACACTCGGTCATTCCTTCACGTTGTTGCCACGACTACGGCAGGAACTCTCTGTCATTAACTCCGTTGCCGCGATTGCGGCAATTGCGACGCGGGGAATCCAAAAGAAACAGGCCCGCTAACGCAGCCCCCTCACAGTCCTCATCATCGTCATCATCGCCGCCATCGTCGCCGTCTATTTCGCCATCATCAAGCCCGGCCAAACGGCTGCCGCGCCCGCCGCCACCAAGCGCGCCGTCGCCGTTCGCGGCCTCGAGCTGCCCGAGATCTCCCTCACAGTGCCGGTTGACACGGGCGCCACGTCCCTGCACACCTTCAAGACGCCGAGCCGCGTCGTACGCCGCATCGTCCAGCCGGGGGCGGGCTGGGAGCCCAACGCCAACGCGCAAGAAATGTCCGTCGCCGACCGCTTCGGCCGCAAGGTCGACATGCCCGCCGTCCAAAACTAAGAGGACGGGGTGCCATCTCTCTTACGTCGTTGTTCGAGCCTGTACAAAAGAAATACCCACCATACCTTTTTAAACCACACCTGCCTCAACCCCCATCCAGGGAGGCTTACCTTCAAATCGCGAACACACCCTGTCCCTCCGACTTGACGTCCGGATCGATTTCTCATTACCGTCACCATTATACGAACCACTCGTCCCCCCTTTTTCTTTATATACAACTATAGACGGACGGATCATGGAAGGTATACGTCGTCTCATTTGCTGGTCGGAGGGGGATGAAGCCCCCTAAAAAAATCGCAAAAGAGATGAATCCTGGGAACCCAGGCCCTAGAGGAAAAGGGAAGGGCGGGATCTTCAACGGGAGTTTTACCCCCCTCCTCACTCCTCCCGTTTACCCGTATTCGGAACTTTATCTACTGTTGACACAAGTATCCCCGCCGATTGCGTGCCCCCACAAACCCCTTCTGTGCGACTTGGATTCACACCTTCTGGGGAGGAAGATACCGTTGGAGCACTCATGTGTGTGTGCGTGCGGGGCATTACGCAACTTACTCTGCCTACCGTTTTGTTATTTTCCGTCTGTTGCATCAGGTAGGGCGTTGGCATGAATGCTCGCAAATATAGTCAGCTTTTTTTTTAACTCGACGTCTTTATTAATTCCCGACGGCGGTCCCAGTTCCCCGATCTCTGCTCTCTCTCTCTCTCTCTCTTTCGGGCGTGACTTGAATTTTGACTACGCCACGACGAGGGCATGTTTCTACAGCCGGAGGGGGATGAGGCGGCAAACCCGTCAGGACGAAAACTGGATGAGGGGAGGTCTCGGGCAACGGAAACGGGTTTCCCGTTGTGAAAACGACATCTCCGAGGTGCAGGGTGAAAAATGCATTGGGAAATAATGGGCAAAATATGCCTGGGAAATTGGGGCAGTCCAGCCATCCTCCCCGATCATGTTCTGAGATTGCCTTTTCTTTTTGTCCGGCCTGCGTGTGATGGATGCTTGGCATCCATGGTAGACGATCACGTCTTTTATAATACAGTAATTAGTTCAGGGTAATCAAGGACTTTGGCCGATTCGTGTGCGGCACAATATAATGGTGTCTTTTCTTCCTCCTCCTTTCCTCAATACATCGTTACTACCACCACCACCGCCGAGGCTCCTCCTCCTGTGGCCGTGGTGTGGTAGAACCACCTCCCTGCTACCTATCCCTCCACGTCGTCCGCCCGCGCCTCCCGGCGCAGTATGTCCCGATGAATACGGGAGACGAAGACGAAGATGGCCAGCACCAAGGAGGCAAGAGCGGTTTAGGGGAGGTTCGTCCCGTTTGCTGAGAAACAGCATGCTCGCCGAAGATAGTCCGGGTTTTTTTGGACTCCAATATAACAACCCGTCAATACTAAAGCGGAACGGTGTTGAGCTAGAGCGTGCTGCTGCAAAACTCCTGATCCCTCCCCCCCCCCCCCGAGTAATGATCCTTCTCGGTGTCTGTTGGTAACCACGCCAATGGTCTTCCGACGGACAACGTCATCTGATCCACGTGGCATACAATCAAGCGACCGAAGCTGTGAACGGCATTTCCGAAAACGTGCGTTCTTCATTACCAAAAAGCCCGAGTGATTGGTTTTTCCATCCCTCCGTCGGACCGCCCATCCAGACCGATAGTGGGAAGCCACCCACCCACTCGTCCACGCCTCGAACCCCCCAATGTTGAGCGCCTTCTCGGCGCGCGTCGGGTACACTTCCATCTGGGAATGTAGCCGGCCTTAGCCGGCCTCTCTCGGTTTCCGAAGCGTCCAGCAAGAACTGCGCATGTGATCCTTCCCCGTTGCATGTGTGTGTACGTGTGTGTACGCGTGTGTGTGTGTGTGTGTGTGTGTGTGTGTGTGTGTGTGTGTGTTGGGTGGTTGAACCTGTCAACGGTCATATACTCGCAAGGTTCAGATTGAGTCGGTATACTTTCCCCTCGGGCGTCAGAATTGACAAAAGAGTGTGGCCGACCCAGCAACTTTTATCCCACACGAACCCGCGTCTCGTCTCAACAAAAAAGAGGCGGATCTTCTGAACCTTTTCGGCACGGTCCGCTTCGGGAGGGGGGGGGAGGGCAATAGACAAGGTGAGGATAGGGTCGGTTTTGGATTTCAGCCGGTCTTTTTTGTGTTCGTGGTCTCTTGTCTGGCAGGAGTTGTTGGAAACGGCAATGGTTGGTGATGTAACCCCGTCTCTCTCCCTCTCGCTGAGCCGATGGCAGGGGAGGGGCAGATCGTCTTTCTGCGCTGGAAGAAAGACCTTTTGGATGTAGAGATGAGGAGTCTTCCAGACAAAACAAACTCCTGGTAGGTCCAGCCTCTGAAGCTCCAGGTGCCAACCATCGAGTACGTTCTGGAGTGAAGCAGGAGGCTCAGGCTCCTCGCTCATCTATACTATACTTAGGGCTACCTACACTTATGTCGGATTATATGGCTGTCATAGTGTGGCCACAGCATGGCTATATACACGATGCATTTGGGCAATCTACCGGGAAACGTCCAACGGACCGCTTTGCCGGACACAGAAAACAGTCCACTCACAATGAATGACCTCTCCCTGGTCGTCGAAGAATAGACAACCATTCGTCCAACTCCGTTGAGCAACGGGTGTGTTGGGAGCTTGACAAGATTTCAGGCGTTGAAGCGATTGTACACGGCGTGTCGGGTAAGAATGAGCTGCTCAATTTCGAGCAGGGCTTTTCCGTGCGATGCCGTGGAGGGGGGGACAATGCCATGTTCATTTAAAGCCTTGTGTATATAGAAACAAACCGCGAGGCCCGTCTACCTATCAAACAGGTCGTTCTGTTTTCCCGACTGAAACAGTGAGAAATATGGTCTATGTAACAGGTCCCCCTCCCCCTTTCGTGATTCATGAGTCGTTAATCATACATGCCCAGCAGTCCTCTTGCAATCTGGAGAGAGGAAGAGCCGGTCATTCCCCCGTTTCTAGCAAATGTCAGTGATCTTCTCTCGGGATACAGATACGTTGGGGTGTGTGACGGCGTTGTTACCTTTTCCCTGTAATAGCACAAACTTTCGGATCCTCCTTTATGTAGCAAGCCAAGGAGAAGCATTAGAAACGACAGCTATAAGTCGATCCACATGTCAACAAACGCCGTATGCCGAGACCCCTCACTCCTCGGTCTCCTGCTTGGGCCCGGTATCGTCGGACGCAGGCTTCTTCTCGCGGGCCTTCTCGGCCCTGCCCTCGCCGGCCTTGACGACCCGTCGGAGCACGCTCATCTTCCGCTCAAAGTCCTCCAGAAGGGGCCCGTACTCCTCGCCGCCCGACCTGGCGACGGCGCTGCTGGAGCTGGGCAGGCTCTCGGCGCGGTCCCTGTCTTTATCGCCGCCGGCAGCGCCCTCACTCTCGACGCCCTCGATCTTGAGGACCAGCCCGCCCTCCTTCTCGCCCTCCTGCCGGGCGATGCTGGCGTCCGTCACGGCGAAGTCGGCGCTGAGGCTCGCGGCGGAGGCGACCGTCCACTGGCCGTCGGCGCCGGGGACGACGTCAAGGAGGACGGCGCGGTCGACGGCGCTCGGTGGCGGGTTCTTGCCACCGGGGGCGGCGGGCTTGGACGTCGAGGCGGAGGGGGTCGGGGCGGCCTGGTTCGCGGCGTGGTGGGCGGCGAGGGCGGCGGTGAGGGTGTCCGGGTCGTCGTCGAGGAAGATGTACTTGACGGTCGGGTGGTGCGTCGAGTTGGTCGTCGCGTTGGAGACGAGGGTGAAGAAGCCAGCGGGGTCGAGTTTGGGGGCGGGTTCGGTTCCGGGTTCGGCCGCGGCTGCGGTATCTGCGTCTGGGTCTGCGTCTGGGGCGGGGTCGGGCGCGGTGGCGGACGGGGCGGCGGCGCCCGGCGAGCTACCGAGGGGGGCTTTCTGATGCTGCAGGGACGAGGACAAAGACGCCGTGGCGGGCTGGTCGGCCTCGGGGCGCGGGGACGTCGGGACGTCCGGCATCATCAGGCGGAAGAGTTCCAGAGGGGCCGCGTGTCTCTTGGAGGGGAGGCGTCTCGAGGGAGCAGGAGGAGGAGGAGGTCGGTCAGGGCGAGGGCGGCGAGACAAGGCGTTGTTGCTGACGAGATGCCTGGCGTCGCGGTCAGTGGCATCTTTTTCCCGAGGTGAGATGGAAGCTGCAGTTGGAGACTCGGCGATGGGGTGCAGGGAGGGACGGAAGCTAGAGCTGTTGGGTGTCATAGTGGAGGTGCGGGTTCCAAGCCGCTGGGGACGGGCTTATCGTTATCGCCACGTGACTGTGGGGAAAGCCTGATCTGGCATGTGACGTTGCTGATCTATCTGGGCGGATGCGGATCTCCGATTTTGGGGGTCTCGAATCATGATAGACACTGGATAAGTAGTTGCCTTGCATCTTCAGACTCGGAATATATACATATATATATATATATGAGTGGCATGCGGCGCTTATAGAGGGTGAGTGTAGTTCTCTTCTGGTTTGCACTCGACTGTTTCCAGAACTGAGCTGTGGTTTCCACGGTTCATGGCCCCAGACCCAGGAAATAAACGAAGCGAATCGAGACGCTGCACTTGTCACCAACAATGTTTCATTGTTGGAGTCTCACCAAGGCTGAAAAATGTCTTTTTGAACCAAGCCCTGATATCATTCACCTTTTCCCCAAGACTATGCTTTGGCATGCTTCAGCGCCGGTAACAGGGGAGCAGTCGTCCTTTTATTTTCGTGCGTCCCGGTATCAGCGTGAAACCCCTTTTGCCCTTTTTGCCCTTTTACCCATGAATCCTGAGCATCTCGTAAACCAATGCGCCAAACGCCACGCAAGCCAGAGATATCGTATCAGAAGGGAGACAGCGGCACATACTAGGCCTCAACGGTCTCACTCGTCTGGTCCATCCACTCGAATTCTAGAGGCTGTCAACGACATGCTCTTCGTGCGACATGGGACGAAACTTACTTTGACGGCACATGGGGCACTGGCCCTTTGCCGAGTCCTGCTTAATCCACTCCAGAATGCAGTGCTTTGGGGGTCGGTCAGAGGACGGTCATTGAGGTCAGGACGAGGCTGCTGCTTACCATATGAAAGTTGTGTCCACACTTGCCAGACACTAGCCATTGTCAGTTTGCATACAATGATAACGGTATGATGTGAAATGACGGAACGTACAGAGGCTGCAATCGTCGCCGGGGTATTTGCAGGTCGGACATGTGCCATCGAAGTGGACTTGGCAGATACCACAGACGTCGTCCTCGGGGATGTCCCACCGCCACGTCGCGACGGTATTCCAGCGGGTAATCTTGACCTTCATTATGAGTGCTGTTATGGGTGAGTTGCTGCTGTTGCTATTGTTGTGGCTCTGTATGTTTTGTCTCCTCAAAAGGGTCTGGTGCTGATGAGTCTATGCCTTTCTGGCAGTCGGCCTTGATTCATGCTCCCTCAGTATGCACCCTCTGTTGCTGTGTCTCTTTTCTTTTTTTTCCCTTTTTTTTCGCATAAAAGTAATCTCGTTGGGTTGTAGTGGTTTTGCGCTTTTGTTTGTTGAAGTCGGGAAACGCGAGAGACGTGCAATTGACTGCGGGGCAGCTAAAAGGCCAGTGCCCCCAAGCCAGTCAATCATGTCGAAATAAAAAGATGGCGACATGTGGCCCAAGCTCCTCGCATCGCGCCAACTAAACCAACCGTTCCCACCGCATGTGTGTCGCTCCACAGTGAATGGAGTCACAGACTCACGGTGACCGACTAGAACCCCGACCTCCTCCTCTCTCTCCTCCTCCTTCTCCTCCTCCCCCTCTTCCCGCTTATCATTGACTGGGAACCAGTGAGCAGCGCCCCCCCTGTTTTGTGTTTCTGGCCAGGCCTGATAACAATACTGCCGCTTCCCCAAAAAACCTGACCACCACCATCGGTCACGGCCAAACAAAGAGAAAGACCCGTCGTAGAAGAGGAATACCACCACCACGAGCCAAAGAGAAAGCAGGAAAAGAAAACGGTTGTGACGGTAAGCCTCCCTCACAAGCTTTCCCCTCCCTCCTACGCCCCAAACCCCGCACACAAACCACCACATGCAATGCCTCTGTCACCTTCCTTAGCCTTCGCCGTAATTTTTTCTCAATTCCCTCTATCTTTATCAGAGGTTCCCCCCTCAGCGTCCCGGGCTTGCGCCCTCTGCTGTTGACATCACCGACCGACCCGATATCGACCGATACTGCCGCTCGACTCGGCCAGCTCCATTTCCTGCTGTTCCAACTAACCCGACATCATCCGGTCCAGCGAATTGAAAACAAGACGATATCTACGTAGCCATTAATCATGGTGACTATTGCCATTCTTCGACCGGCGCGCGCCGCGGCGCAGTCGTCGTGGAATGCGCGCTCTTCCTTCAAGGTCGCCGCTGCCGCCGCCTCCTCGCGCCGCTCCTTGTCCTCCTACCTCGTCACTCCCAAGGAGCTCAACGAGGCCCTCAAGAAGAACCCGCCCAAGATCAGCCCCGAGCCGCGCACCATCCCCCTGTGCGCTTCCTGGTTCCTCCCCAACGATGGCCGCACCGGCATCGAGGTCTTCCGCCAGCAGCGGATCCCCAAGGCCCGCTTCTTCGACCTCGACAGGGTCATCGACCGCCACAGCGAGTACCCGCACATGCTGCCCTCGCCCAAGGACTTCGCCGCCGCCATGAGCGAGCTGGGCATCCGCAAGGAGGACACCGTCGTCGTCTACGACAGCAAGGAAGTGGGCATCTTCAGCGCCCCGCGTGTCGGCTGGACCCTTAGGATCTTTGGCCACCCCAAGGTCCATGTCCTCAACAACTTCAAGCTCTGGGTCGACGAGGGCCTGCCCACCGAGTCGGGCGAGCTCTACAGCGTCGAGTGCTACACCTACCCGATCCCCAAGATGGACGAGAGCAAGGTTGTCGACTTTGAAGAGGTGCGCGAGATTGCGCTCGACCACAACAAGGAGGGCGCCGAGGGCGTGCAGATCATCGACGCGCGGTCGCCCGGCCGCTTCACCGGCAAGGACCCCGAGCCGAGACCCGGTCTGTCCTCCGGCCACATGCCGGGCTCCATCAACATCCCCTTTAACGCCGTCTTGGACCCCGAGACCAAGGCCTTCTACCCCCCGGACAAGCTGAGGCAGATCTTCCAGGAGAAGGGCGTCGACCCTGAGAAACCCATCATCTCGAGCTGCGGTACCGGCGTGACCGCCTGCGTCATCGAGACCGCTCTCGAGGTGGCTGGATGGGGCTCTCCTGAGAAGCGCAGAGTCTACGACGGAAGCTGGACGTAAGTGCATCCGTCTCCTCGACCTCGGCGTAGCTTTCACATGCTAATTCTAACTCTTGTTCTATGCAGCGAATGGGCGCAACGGGTGAAGCCATCCGACTCGCTCATCAGAAAGGACGAGTAACAAAACAGATTGAGCGAGAGATAGCGCGCGCAGCGTCGAGTTGCTTCTAGTTGCGATACCCTCACCACCCCACTTTCTGGTTTTCTCTGGTTTTCATTGTGTGATATCCGGCACATTACGGCTTTGGAGTTTGCATTGCGCATCGGGGCATGTCCGTCAGCTTGTTTCGTCGTTTGGGGGGGGAGGGGGGGTGGCCTGGTGTACATAGGCCAGGATAATTGAATCATGATAATGGACATACTGGACAATGAGCACAAGATCAAACCCGCAGCACAAGGAACGATATCCGATACGCAAGGCTATGGTATATCCTGGTGAAGTAATTGAACGCTGGGCCTATTTTTGGGTACTCAATTGGAGAGAAGGGGGGGGGGGGGGGTGTTGATTCAATTTGGGATCAGCACCCAGTCGCAGATGGAATATGTGTGCGCGACACACTGTGCTCCTCCTCGGTGTGGCTCGGTGAACAAGCCACATCCCCCCCCCCACAAATGTGGTCCCCCCCCACCCTTCTTCACCTTGAGTTTCTGCCTCGAAGCTCAGGCCAGTAGGGCTCGCCAAACCCATTCTGAGCAGCGCGGGAAGGCACAACTGGGCAACAGCGCAAAATTGCCCGGCCCTGAACGGCCACCAACCAGACCCCCGCAAAAAAAGTTGTGAGTGCATCTCGAAATAACTTCCTCCCCTCGAAACACCACCACCACCACCCCCCGACTAACCGGAGCAGCAGTCTTTTCACTCGCGCGCGCGCAACACCCAACCTCCAACAACACACCCTCTCCCCCCGACGACACATTATGGCTGACCGTGGTGCAAGCGCCCCCCGTGGCGGCGGTGGTTTCGGATCCCGTGGCGGTGACCGTGGTCGTGGACGCGGCCGTGGTCGTGGTCGCCGCGGCGGCAAGAGCGAGGAGAAGGAGTGGCAGCCCGTCACCAAGCTCGGCCGTCTCGTGAAGGCCGGCAAGATCCAGTCCATGGAGGAGATCTACCTGCACTCCCTGCCCATCAAGGAGTACCAGATCGTCGACTTCTTCCTGCCCAAGCTCAAGGATGAGGTCATGAAGGTGCGCGCACACAATTCTTCCCCGCCTCCGACCGCCGGGGCCGAGATCGATTCCCGCAGACGACGACGAGACAAATCGCCCGTGGAGATGAGATTCTCGGTCTTTGGGTCATGGTTTTGGTTTCGGGACTGTTGTCCCAAAACCCGGTTTTCCGAGAGAAGGAGGGGAATGCTAATTCGTGTCTTTTCCCCCAATTGCAGATCAAGCCCGTCCAGAAGCAGACCCGTGCCGGTCAGCGCACGCGTTTCAAGGCTATCGTCCTCATCGGTGACTCCGAGGGCCACGTCGGTCTCGGCATCAAGACCTCCAAGGAAGTCGCTACCGCTATCCGCGCTGCCATCATCATCGCCAAGCTTAGCGTCATCCCCGTCCGTCGCGGATACTGGGGCACCAACCTCGGTCTCCCCCACTCCCTGCCCACCAAGGAGTCTGGCAAGTGCGGTTCCGTCACCGTCCGTGTATGTATACCCCGTGGTCTGGATTCATGTGTGGAATTGGTTGTCTGACGTGTGGCCCCTCTGCAGCTCATTCCCGCCCCCCGCGGTACCGGCCTCGTCGCCTCCCCCGCCGTCAAGCGTCTTCTCCAGCTCGCTGGTGTCGAGGATGCCTACACCTCCTCCGCCGGTTCCACCAAGACCCTCGAGAACACCCTCAAGGCCACCTTCGTCGCCGTCTCCAACACCTACGGCTTCCTCACCCCCAACCTGTGGAAGGAGACCAAGCTCATCAGATCCCCGCTCGAGGAGTTCGCCGACACCCTGCGCGAGGGCAAGAAGTACTAGAGCAGCGAGGAACGACGGGGTTTGTGAGGAGATGGCAAGAGAAACTTGTGTCGGCTTCGGGATTTCTTCATGGAGTTGCGTGTGTTACACTGCATCGTTGGTTGGCCAGGGCATGACATTAAGGCTAAGGGCAAACTAGCTCCGGATCTGAAAAAAATAAAGATCATTGAATGCGGCCGACGGGTTTTTCAAAAAAGAAATATTATGGGCATGAATTTTCACGATACTCCGAGGCAATCCCCGCAATGGGCATGGTGACTGACTGACTATTGGGGCGACTGACCGATTTTCCAGAGCAACCCGCCGACTTACCCCCGCGTCAACCACCAAGCTTAACGTCTAGTACTGCCGACATCGATTGTCCAACGGGAGCCACTGCTTGGGAAGGAATGTCTATGGAGGAAGTCGGAGGGCTGATAGTGCGTGAATGGTTGGATCCATGTCGTTGGTAGACGTGGGGCAAAGGCGAAACATCGAATAGATGGGTCAAACAGACCATCCGGGCTGAACAGAGATGGCCGTGGCAGTATCCGTACTCATTGCTCATAGCCCGACATGAGCAAGGGAAGCACCACTCGCCAGGTGACACGTTCCGCAGCATTAATCTCGAGCCCTCACTACGCACCAAGAGGTGTTTTTCTTTTGCCTGTCATCAAACTGCTTTTACTCTCGCAAGACCATGTTTGAATCTTAATCGTATCTCGAAGAAGGCAAACTCCCCTGGTCCAAACATCTCAAAGACAGAAAGAAAGAAGAATAAAAGCCAAAAGGCAGCATTGAACACGCAATCCCCCTCAGGTCCATCACTCCTTCCCTTCCTCGTCCTGGAACCGAACCCTTCTCTGGCCCTCCTGGCCCGGCGGGTATCGGGGCGAGAGCAACGGCCGCCGCCTCTCGATGACTCTCGGCGGCGGCGGCGGCGGCGGAGTCGGCCGGGGTAGCCTGTCCAGCACTGCCCCCTCCTCGGCCGCCACCTGCCCCGTCGCGGAGGCTGCGGACCCCGCCGGCACGCTCCTCGGCACGACCTCCGGCTCCACATCCGGGAGCCCGAAGACTTCGCCGCCTCCGTCTCTGTCGCGGCGGCTGCTGCTGCTGCTGCTGCTAGAAGCCTTGGCGCGTCCGCCGCCAAGCCAGCTGGTCCCGCGCGGGGCTTTGCCGTCATTGGGGCCCAGTTCCTCTGTAATGAGCAGGTCAGTTATCTAGATATCTCTGTTTGTGTCGAGGAATGCCGCACGATGCACAGCACCGGCTTACCTTGAATGACCCTCTGCACATGCGCCTTGATGACCCCCTTCTGCAACGGCGTGTCGCCCTCCCAGTACTCCCCGTGCCCGGGGAAGAACTGCGTCTGCGCGTCGTTGACCTCGTGGTACGGCACCGATAGGCTCCTCGCCACCTCCGCCTTCTGGAGCTCCTCGCGCGTCGGCTGCGCCCTAGACGCCGCCCTCGCCATTTCCGCCCTCACCTCCTCCTCTTCTCTGTCCCGCTCCGCCTCCTCGTCGGCCAGGCTCGTCCGGATCGCCGCCTGCGTCTTCTCGCTCTGCAGGTGCACCGGCCACCGGTTCACCGAGAAGAAGCGCTTCTTCTTCTTCGGGCCCGCCGCCTCGGGCCGCGCCCACGCCCAGACGCGCTCGCGGTGGAGCGTCATGACGTCCTTCCCGTCGGCCCCCCGGCCGAAACGCGGCCGGCTGGGCCAGAGCGTGCTGTTACCCGCCGACAACTCGTCGATCATGCCCCGCCTGACGATCTCGACCGCCCGCTCTTCCGTCATCCCTTTCTTCCACCGCCTCGGGTGCCCTTGCCTGACGACGCTCACGTATGACGCCGGTCGCGCGCCGCTCTCTTCCGGCCGCTCGAACTCGCTCTGCCACTCGCCCGCCATGGCCTGCAGCTGGGCGGCGCGGCGGTCCCGGCTGGCCGGCCTGCTCAGGCGCCGGTCCAAGTCGACGACCCGCGGCGCCAGCGTGCTGAGCTCGACGCCCGCGCGGTAGGCCGCCGACCAAAGCATCCGCTTCGTCGCGCGGCGCGTGGCGTCGACCTTGTCGACGTTGACGAAGGCCGTCTCCCAGTCCCATGTGTGCTCGGGCGTCGGCACGTTGGCCGCAGTCCAGGGGTTCGTCGTCGGGTCCCAATCGTCGTCGTCGACGGGCCAGTTCATGCGGTGCTCCGGGTGCCATGTGCACTCGGGCCGGCTAATGTTCACTTCCCCGGTCTCGGCACGCTCGTATCTGGGAAGACGCGGGCCGGTCAGCATCTTGCACGAAGCTTCAATAGGGGGTAGGGGGTAGGGTTTTACCCAAGTCTTCCGTGGTCGGCGAGCACTCGACTGTACATGTTCACCATGTCCTCGCTGAAGACATAGTCGCCGTGGCGGAGGCTGGCGTTGAGAGCCAGCGTCACCTGCTGCAGGCTAACGCTGCGCTTCGAGACGGCGAAGAGGCACTCCTGACTCGGCTCGTCCAGCAGGGCCTGCACGCGCGCCGTGAACACCTCGAACGGCCGCCCGAGCCTCGGCAGCGCCTCCCGCTGCATCTTGACGTTTGTCGACGGCCCGCACACGAAGTCAACCCAGTACAGCTCTCTGTCGTTCATCTCAAGGTACCCGTCGTGCTCCTCCCGGTGCGCCACCAGCTCGTCCTTCATGTTCCAGGACGGGCGCCCCTCGAGCCCGAGCTCCATGTTCTTGACGACGCCCTCGAGCATCTGCCGCGGGTTACGGGCCCACGCCCGCTTCACCCTGTCGCGGAGGGTGACCAGCAGCGCGTGCCGCGCCACCAGCCGCCGCTCGCTCTCCCGGAGGAGGTAGAAGGGCGTGACGGGGCCGAGGAAGTTGTGCGGCAGGAGCACCGTGTCGTTCTCCTTGGCGTGCCTCCGGTGCGCCGCCACGACCTTCTCCCTCAGGCCGGCCGCGCGTGTGGCGTGGTTCTCGCGCAGCTTCGCGTGCCAGTACACCAGGGCCAGCGGGTCGAGCTTGGCGTCCTCGGGGGGCGCCTTGACGGCGAGCGGCTTGTAGACGATGTTGACGCCGGCCTCCGCCTCGGCGCGCTCCCTCTGCCGCCTCGTCAGGGGCAGCACGAGTTTCCGGAAGGGGCTCTGGATGGCCACGTTCTCGACGCTGTCAAAGTGCGAGAGGCACTGCTGCAGCGCCGCGCGCTTCGCGCCCCGGTACCGGGCGAAGCGCTGCTGGGCCTCGCCCTCGGGGTAGAACTTTTGCGTCGCGTGCGGCCTGCCGTGGCGGTCGTCGACATGGCCGACCTCGCCGGCGACGTACTCGTTGTGCAAGATGTAAAAGTTGGCCTCGCCTCGCAGCGCGCCTGAAGTCGCCTCGGGTCCGCCGTCCATGCACTTGGCGAACCATTCGTCCTCCGTGAGCGCCATGTTGAAGTCCGGCTGGTACTGGAACACCGCTCCGCGCTGGCCCGAGCCCGGCCTCGGGCCGTTCGGGTCGGCGGCCCAGACGAGGTTGCCGTCCTGGCGGAACCACGTCATGAACATGATCCGCAGCAGCGGCCCGGGGATCTGGTAGTCCACGTCCTGGACGGACTCGGGCACCCGGTGGAGGAGGTAGCGGGGGCGCACCGGGTCCTCGGGCGTCTTGGCCGCGATGATGGCGCGCCCGTCCGGGAGAGGTGGCAGGCGTGTGCTGACGCCTGAGTATTTGGGGAAATCGACGACGAGCTTCCTCTCGCCGTAGTGGTACTGCTCGAAGATCCGGTGCGTGTGAAGCATGTCGATGCACTGGTGCAGGTCGACCCACCAGTCCCTGCCTTCGCCGCCCTTTATGTGAAGGCAGTACTGCAGGAACTCTCCGATCTCGGCGAACTTGCGCTCCCAGTCGATGGTTCGGTCGATGTCCTCATCCGCGAGGAAGTTCTTGATGCGGATGAGCTGAACCTTGGGCGAGTGGATGCGCCAGCCCTGGTAGTCTATCATGCGCAAGTCCTCGGCGGTGGTCGCGCGGTCGCGCTTCAGCCAGTTGATGAGCCAGCCGTCCCCGAGGGTTTCCTCCATGACCTTGTCTTCGTCGTCAGCCTCGGCATCCGTGTCTTCGGGGCCGACGTCAACCATATCAACGTCTTCTTCCTCGGGTTCCCCACCGGGGAGGTCGGGTGTTAACGGAGAGAGCGGTATTTGTTCTCGAGGGGGCGTGTAAATGCGGCCGTCTTCGGATGGAGGGTTAAGGGTTGATGTGGGCATTTTGGTTTCTTTCTGGGTGTGGCTAAGAGGCATCATACGCTCACTGGGAAAGGTAAGGGTAATTGGAGGACCAGTCGACACAGCCGTCGTCTGAGATCTCTCTCGCGTGTCGATGCTGGATGGGACCTGTTGAGCTTGCGGAGGCAAAGACCCGGTGAGGTCTGTAACCTCACTGGGAATCCCTGTTTCTTCAGTGTTTTCATGAGTTCCTGCAGAGGTCGTAATAACTACTGGCATTCGAGGCTTGGCCGCCGTGTTAGCGCGCCTTCGCGTGTACTCAAATAGGAGATCAACTCACTGGTATCCTGATATTCCTGGGAATTGGGATCCTGGAAATCCCACCACTACGTGATCTTGTACCTGTTACCCTGACGGGCTTGAGTCGAGTCGCAGTGGCAAGTCCAGCCAATGCTGTCGGAACCGTCGACAGACCTGCGTGCTTGTTTCCATCGTCTTCTGACCCAGGAGCCTCGTCACCGGGGTCTTCACCATCACCACTATCATTGTCATCGACGCCGTCGACCATTTGCTCAATCTCTGGTAGCTTGTACTTCGTGGACCGACGGATGTACTGGTTGCTGTTGTAATAGGGTTCGAACGTCGCCGGGAACTTCCAGCCGTCCGGTGCGTCGCGAGCCCGCCACTCCGTCGTGAAAGGGTTCCGTGGCGCTTTCCCGCCCTCTGCTGGCGCCCTTGGTACAGGAGGAGGCTGGATGTGTTCTTTGGACATCGCCGCGAGCTGCCTTGCCATGCCGATGTGTGACGACGGGCCGTATGTGCCTTCAGGTCCGTCGGGGCACGCAGTAGGGTCAACTCCGCCGACATCCTCTCTCGCCTCACCGGCTCCGTACCCAGCACGATCTTCGGTGAACAGGCCGGCGCTTGTGGTCTTCATTCTCGTCGCGGCCGCTTGGATCTCGGCTTGCGAGAACGGAACGCCTACGAAGCCCAAGACCCCGGCCCACCTGCCGACATCATCACCGCCCTCGACAAGTTTTTCGACCATGAGGTCTCTCTTGGTCTTCTCCACGGCCGCGGGTTCTTTTTCAGACTCCTTGGCTCGCGCGGCCAGGGTTTCGGTCGCACTCTCGCGGGCATCTTGCCAGCGGGCCCCTCCGAGGTCCGCATCGCGCAGCCACTCGTACCGCGTGCCGTACATGTCAGCCAGCAGGCCCCGGAACTCCGCGTTCTTCCTCAGCAAGTCATCAATTCTACGCATGGAGATGAGGTTCTCCATGTGCTGGAAGAGGCGGTAGGGCTCAGGGTCTTCGAGTGCTTTCCGTGTGAGCTCCAACGTTTCCGTCGGGAACCTATGATACTGCCTGCTGACCATTTCGGCCAGCTCGGCTTGACAAGCTGTTAGGCGATCCCAAGAAGACATGGGCTCTCAGGCTGCTTACGCATTCTTGTTTGAGCCATGATGGCTGTTGGCGCTTGTGCTCAGTGCACTCCAGCGGCAGTTTGCGATTCCGATGACGGGAGATAGAAACCGCAATCGACAGGGAAACCAACACAAAACCGTGTCAAGTCCAAGCTCCAGCATAAACAAGAGCTACGAATGAGAAGCAAGCGATAGGACCAAGACGCCAGCTTCTGTAAAAGACATTGAGAAGGTTGACAAGGAGACAAGAGTGTATCCGGAACTTCAGTGAAGCAAGAGTTGAAGGAAACCATTCTACCTCCCCGACTTGCGAAACACGTCCATTTTACGATTTTGAAAGGCCACCTCTCCCGCTCCTCCCATCCTCAAAGACCCAAAGCTCCTCTCTTGTTCTATTGAAAGGATCCATTAAAAGGGGTACATTGAGGCAGAGGTTACCATAAAGGGCCGCCAACGGCAACGGTACAAACGGCGAGGTACAAAGGGAGGAAATTAACAAACCGGCCAAAGCTCCGTGGCGATGACAATACAGCTCGGAGCACAAGCTGCATTGACGGTCCCGGCCGTGCTCTCGTCAATGGTTGGCCATTTCCGGCAGATTTCTGGGTCTGTCTTTGTTGAAGGCGTTTACATTCATCAGCCGTCGAAACGCCAGCCATTCTGTCGCAATCCGTGACAGATTCTTGGCCCAAGTTGATAAGTTTCCAACGGCTGGGTTGTAACATGTCATCTGAAGGGGCAAAGCGAGGAGCTCGGTCGCAGCAGTCCCGTTGAGATACTGATGAGGTGTTAAGCCGGCCTCAAAAGTAGAGAGCATCTTCCAGAGACTTCTCCAGATAGAGTCTTTGAGGAGGAACTCGCTCTATGCTTTGATGTTTGCACAGCAACTTCTCAACTATATTCTCAATGTCTTATCACCAAAACTCCGGAGATATCGATCCCATCATCTCTGGTCATGATGAGACAGGCAACTCATCCGGTGGCCCTGCGCCGAGCTCCGTGCCAGAGACATCTCCATCGACTCAGTCTTCGCAACCTCAACCCAGCTCCCCAGTCTCGGCTGAAGAAGACGACGATGGTTCGAGAAGTGATGTCAGCTCCGACCTTGCAGCTCGTCAGCTTGCAGTTGAGGGGCACGAGGAACACCTCAGAGAACAGGTCCGCGTCGAACTAGATGCCCAGGACCGAGAGTCCGCCTGGCGCCGCCGTCTACAGACGCCCATCCCGCAACCCCAGCAGACACCGTCTCAACCACCGCCCCTAATCATCGGCGCTCCGCTGGGGAAGAACCTGACAGCCATCGAAGCGGCAACTCGTCTCGTCTCCCAATGGGAGGCAATCCACGAGTCCGCCCTCCAATCAACCCCCGAGGCCGCCTCTCCCATCCTCGAGGAACTCACACAAGCCCGCGACCAACTCGCTGCCGTCATGGCCCAGCAGCAACAAGCCTCCTCGCTCTCTGCATCCACCCTCGGCGGAGAGACACAGAACCCCGTCGTAACCCCTCTCAACTCCCTCGACGCCCACAAAGCCGCCGCTATAGCCTCCCGGATCGAGCTCCTCACCGACTCCCTCGAGGACTCCCACTTCCCGCCCGAGCGCGCAAACATCGCCGCCGCCGTGTCGCTCTACCGCGCCGCCCGCATCCCCTACTCCGCCAACTGGGCCCTCCTCTACGCCGGCCACCTCGTCGACTTCGCCCCGACCTACGCCTCCTTCACCGCCGATCGCGCCGACCGCCTCGACCGCTACGCCCGCCTACACGGCGAGGGCTGGCTCTGGATTGAGCCGCCCCTGGCCCGCGAGCCCGACGGGCCGACCTTCTTCTCCGCGCGGAGAGGCACCTTCCTTCCGGAGCACGACACCTCGTACGACATGGGCCACTACAGCGTCACCATGTCCTTCCGGCGGATGAAGAACCTCGTCTACCGCGGCGCCCCCGTGGCGGACGCGTCGGGGAAGAGGAAGCACGACCGTCTCAGCAGGGGCGGCGACGACGACGAAGGGATGATAAAAGCCGGAGGGGACTGGCCGGCTTGCTTGTCCGACGAAGACCCGGACGCGCCAGACGATATTTTGCCAGAGCCCGTCCCTTCCTCGGCCCTCCGTGCAAGCCGCCCCTCGCGGCACCCGCGCATGACGCGCGACCACGCCGCCCCGACGCTGCACTTCCGCATGCTCCTCGACAGCGGCGCGACCCTACCCCTGATCTACGACCGCGACGCCCGCGCCCTCGGCATCCGCCGCGCAAACTACGCCGCCAGTTCAAAGGATTGTTCTCCCGGTTGTTTAATGAGTATTGCAGAGCATCCAGTTCTCAGAATAGTGCTCCGTCATTCTGGCTAAGCTTCGACCATAGCTAGCTTCGGTGACTTGTCTTCCCCGGCGGTTCTCTGAACGTTGCGGTCTGAATCCGTGACGTTCAGAAGCGGAATGGGTGAAGACAGCGGGACCGCTGCGTTATTTCGCAACAGCGGTTCCCCGTTTGCAAATATTTACACCGCTTTGTGTAAATTAGCCTGGGGCCGGGGTTAATAACTGATGAGCACTGACAGTCACTGAGGATCATGTCGTAGCCTGACGCCCCGCGGTGACTTGTG